CCCGGACCGCGAGATCGTGACCTGGCTGAAGTCGGACGCTTAACCGACTGCGCCATCCAGGCGCCCCCAAAGCAGCCTATTTTAAACTGTTCTCTTAAATCACACATTTCTTATGGTCTCATCCACTAAGCAGATAACCCAGGAGGTAGGCATTATTCCAGGGTTGAGGCAGAGGAGGATGGACAGACTCCCTGCCCGAGGGGAGTTTGAAAACGGTAGGAGAGAGACAAACAGGAAAACAAAAGGCAAGGATTACAGGCTCCGTGGCGAGTGAAGGAGGCAAAGCGAGGGAGAATTTGGTTTTGTAGCAGTTAGAACTCTTTCTGCTTTGGTGGAAAGGCCCAGGGCACGCTGGGAGTTAGGGGCCCCAGCCGGCTGGCTTTGGGGTGACACTTAATTCCCTCGCCCGAAGCACCCAGGGCCTGGCTTCTCCTGCAGTCTTCCTGCTTGAGGCCCATCCTCCCCTTATGCAGTGGGGTGTGGTGCTGGCGTGCGTGGCGTTGGCAGGGGTGCCCCAGTTCCAGGGGTGGGCCCAGTGAGAGCTTGAAGGCAAGGAAAGCCCGGCGAACGATTGTTGCCCTGACCCCTCTGGCAGGGTCCGTGATGGGCCCTCCCAGAACCAGTAACCCGGGATTGTGCTGGTTGGTGCGTCCCTGAGAAGTGCAGGTGGGCAGACCTCACCCAGGTTCCAGGGCTGCCTGTCGGCGCCAGAAGGCAAGTTGTGTGAGTGTTGCCGTCCTGCCCCTCGGGACCGGCTGTCCCCACCGCCCCCCGGTCCTGGGCCACCACGCTCCTCCTTCCCTCAGCCTTCCCTCCTGTGCGCTGGCGGCGGCTGGTCACCATCTGGCTCGGCCACCGCCTGCTGCCCAAGGGTGACGAGCTTCCCGTCTCCCCTACCAAGTCAGAACTAGAGCAGCAGCTGCTGGGAAATGGTCTGCACTTGAGGAGGGGCTCCCGTGTCTGAACGAAAGCGTTGTAAGAGGCGGTGGAGAAGTCTGACTTGCCCTTTTTGTAGGCATCCAGGTGCGACACGATCAGGACCTGGGCTACATGCATCACAAGTTTGCCATAGTGGACAAGAAGGTGCTGATCACGGGCTCCCTCAACTGGACCACTCAAGCCATTCAGAACAATAGAGAAAATGTTTTGATTATGGAGGATGAAGAGTATGTGAGGCTTTTTCTGGAAGAATTTGAGCGTATCTGGGAAGAGTTTAATCCTACAAAGTATACCTTTTTCCCACAAAAGAAGAGGAATCACTGAAGCTGCGCTCTTCTCTGTCTTCAGAGTTCAAGGCGAGAACGGTGTTCGGTGTTACAGAACTTTTGTCCCCGCAGTCGAAACCACACCAGATCTAAAAGGATGGGACTCAGGATGGGCCTGTGCCCGCCCAGAGCAGCTGCCGGGTTCCGTCCGTGTCAGACTGTGCAGTCTACGTGAGAGAAATCTCAACGTGAGGAAAAAACACATTCAGACTCCGTTCTCATTCATTAAAACACTAAAGTGAAGTGCAGAGTGGGGTTAAGGAGGAAGGGGAATCCCTGCAACCCGAGTCTCTTGTTTCAGGTCAGCTCGCTTCCCACCAGTACGTTCGGCGACAGCTTTTCAGGAATGGGCGTTCTGGAACTCGCCTCCTGCCTTGGGCCGGGTTTCTCCTGCCGTACAGAAAAGGCAAGATACCTCTTTCAGGATGTAAAGGCTGATTCCTCTTCCTGACTCTAGAGAATCTCTTACTATGGCATCCGCTCCCCTGGCACTGTCTCCCACACTGTCTCCTCCTTTCCTGTTGGCCTGGCCCAACCCTTCCAGCACAGCTAACCCCCTGGGATGGGCCAGAGGTCGGCAGTCTCTCCATTTCTGCTGTCACCGGCTCGTGGGTGCTTATGGGCAGGTTTGAGTCCGAAGATGTTAAGGAGAGAAGTCAGGAAAAAGGGCAGGAGAGGGGGGTGCTGGGCACGGCAGGAGTGGGGAGCCGCCTTCCGGGCCCCCCTGCAAGCATTGGTTGCCACCAGAGCGGGCAGGTCATTGTCCTAGCCGGGGTGCCTTGCATGGTGACCCTTTAAAATAAATACACAGGAGAAAAAAAGAACCCCACAAGTACCCAGGAGAATGTTCATCTTCCACAGCTTCCCTTCTGTTTTCATCGTGGTGAGTTGCTCCGTCTATCAGCAAGGACTGGAAGTGGCCAGAGGCTGCTTCTGTTTCTGTGTGTTAAGCCTTTAATTGTTAGCATGCTTGCATTCAAGGTAATTTTGTGCTCTTAGAAGTGACCTTCACTGTACCACCTGTGAACTTGGCTAATTGGCATTTTTGGCTCAGCGTAATCAATCATGGGTTACCTGACCATCTGGAGGAATAAACTAGAAGAGAGCCTCTTTTCAGGCTGTGGCATCTCACAGATCTGTTTTTATTCTCAGCTCAGGGATTTGCTTTCACCGTTAATTAGAATAGCTATCTTACGTACATTTGTGAAGTTATTTTTTCATTAACGTGTATCTTTATAGAGAGATTGTTCACATGACACCTGAATAGCGATTTGGCCATCTTGTCCTATTTCTGTATGTAATCGGCCTGACGTCTGTTGGGCGTGTTTCACTTTCCCCATCATACTCATGGAGCCACCTGGAGAGACCACTCATCGTTGCATGTTTTTCCCTGTTTAAAGTTATCTTTGACTTACTGTGTTAGGCAAGTAAATGCAAAGTTAATTTTCCTGATTTAATTGAAGCTAACGAGTATAATACATGGATTGGAGCTCACAGGAAATGGTTTTGGACTGAATGTGTTTTTTCCCCCAAGCTGCTTATGCACTCCTGCAGCCTGTGTTCTGGAGAGAAAACAGGAGGAGTTGTAGGATGTGTCTGTGTCCTGGATGCTGAAGCCGCATCGTCCTGCACGTCTGCACGTTTGAATAAAGGCGATCTTACTCTGGAATGTTAGTAGTGTGTCTTTGCCTTTTGCAGATCCAAATCGTGGGTGCTGTTAATGAAACAAATACCATTTTGCAGCAGTGGATGACATACGGCTGTTTAGAGACTGCTGGTCAAGATAGGAGCCCCAGGCAGGAGTAAGACCTCAGTGTTCCTTGGGGGACCTTCTGAAGTGTTCTCCAAGATGTCCATGCTGCCGTGGCAGGATTTCCAGCATTTTCCTCCAACCTGTGAAGGTTGGCTTGCGTGCAGCTCACTCCCACTGGTATCTGGGTCTTTGCTGTGGCTTGCATCCCCTTCTTCCAGAAGCAGGCTGGTGCTCAGATGTATGTTAGTAACCATGTGCGCATAAGGTGACCTAGCCGAGCTGTCTGGATGTTTTCAGGATTCTTAAATGATCTCGTAAGATTTTTTATTTAATGGCTTTGTTTATATTGTTATCTTCATTATCTTAGCAGTAGGAAATCAAATCTCACAAGATTCAGGTTTTCTGAAAAGAACTGTGGTAAGACAACACTTCCTCCTGCAACCCTTATGATTAGAAAACACCGTTGGAGTGGGAATTGGCCTCGACAGTGCCCACAGCTGTGAAGTACACCAGGAAGGTTTGAAGGAACCAATACAACGACATCGTGTCTTTTTAATTTATTGGGAGAGAGACAGACACAGTGCGAGGCAGAAGCTGCGAAGTTGTGAGATCATGACCTGAGCTGAAACCAAGAGTTGGACACTTAACCAAGTGAGCCACCCAGGTGCCCCAACAATATTGTGTGTGTGTGTGTGTGTGTGTAAAGTTTATTTATTTTGAGAGAGACAGTGAGTGGGGGAGGGGCAGAAAGGGAGAGAGAGAATCCCAAGCAGGCTGACAATGTGGAGCATGAATTGGGGCCTGAACTCACCAACTGCGAGATTGTGACCTGAGCCAAAATCAAGAGTTGGATGCTTAACCGACTGAGCCAACCCGGTGGCCTACAGCTGTCTTATATTTTAAAGCATGTTTTGGTTCTTTTGAATTGTTTTTAAAATAGCTGATTAATGGGGCACCTGGGTGGCGCAGTCGGTTAAGTGTCCGACTTCAGCCAGGTTACGATCTCGCGGTCCGTGAGTTTGAGCCCTGCGTCGGGCTCTGGGCTGGTGGCTCAGAGCCTGGAGCCTGTTTCCGGTTCTGTGTCTCCCTCTCTCTCTGCCCCTCCCCCGTTCATGCTCTGTCTCTCTCTGTCCCAAAAATAAATAAACGTTGGAAAAAAAAATTAAAAACAAAAAACAGCTGATTACTTAAAAAAAACACTTCATGGAGATTCATATATGAATCATACATGAAAAGAGTCACCCTTTTGAAGAATGCAATTCGGTGGTTTTTAGTACACAACAGAGGTGTGCAGCCATCGCCAACTCTCGGATCCCAGAGCGTATTCTTCAGCCCAGAAAGAAACCATGTCCCAAGAGCAGCACTGTCCATTCTCTGCCCCCTCCCAGCCCTTGGCGACCACTGTCTCCTTCCTGTCTCTGGATTTTCCTATAAATGGAATCCTACAGTATGTGGCATTTTGTATGTGCCTTCTTTCACTCAGCATAATGTTTTTGAGGCTGTCCCTGTTGTAGCATGTGCGTGTCAGTATTTCACTTCTTTCTGTAGTTGAGTGATAGAATATTCTGTCATGTGGATATACGACATTAAAAAAAAAACCCATTCATCGTTTGATGGACATTTTGGTTTCCACCATTACAAATAACGATGCTGTAAACATTTCACATGTAAGTGTTCACACCGACATGTTTTCACTTCTCAAGTACATAGCTAGGAGTAGATTTTTGGGGTCCAAGAACTCTTGTCTGAGAAACTATCAGACTTTTCCATTCCATCCAGCAGTGTAGGAGGGTTTCTTCTTCTCCACAACCTTGCCAACAAAAAATTATTACTGACTTAAAATTATAGCCAGCTCACTGGGTGTGAGGTGGTGTCTCATCGTGGTTTTGACTTGCCTTTTCTTGATGACTAATGAGGATGAACATCTCTTCCTGTCCCTGTCGTTTGTATATTGTCTTTGGAGAAATGTCTGTTCAAGTCCTTTGCCCATTTTTAAAATATTGGGTTGCCTTTTTATTGATGAATTATAAGAGTTATAAGTTATGACCTATAACTTCATATGAATCATAAGGATTGTAAGAGTTCTTTTTATATTTCGGATTCCAGTCCCTTATCAGAAATATGATTTGCAAATAATTTCTCCCATGCTCTGGATGGTCTTTTTTCACTTTCTTGGGTACTGTTGGCATTTGCGTGTTAGAAATACCTGTTTTTACCTCTGTTTGGATTTTGGTGTCATAGCTGAGAAACCGTCACCCAACCCAAGGTCGCAAAGATTTGCTTCTGTGTTTTTTTCTCGGAGTATTATTCTCTTAGCTCTTGTGTCAGTCTGTGAACCACGTTTTTTCTAGGTCTTATATGTTTATTCAGAAAGTGATTCAGCTATGGAATGATGCATTTTTAGCACTATGAAATACAATGTTTTGAAGTACTTTCCCCCTACAGTTCTGTTTATAGCAGGATTATAATCCTGGAAATTCTCTTATCTGAAGTTTTTCATGCATTCGGGTATTTTGCATGATGCCTGATGTGACCAGCAATAAAGATTGCAATGAAGTAGTGACTGTGATCATAACCAGTTACTAGGTAGTAACTGTCCATCTGAAAGGAACTGGCCGTCTTTTTCCTGACCAATTAGTGTGTCAGGCTGAGAACCTGGACAGGACCACAAGATGGGTGGCATCAGAAGCCTTCCCTTTACTTTGTATCTGATCCCAAATATTCACTAAAGGCTTCTTTTTTGCCTGCAGGACAGAGCGCTGGGTTGCACACTGGAGAGCTGCTGATGCAGATTTGTATTTTCCAGGATTCTTCCAACACACGTCGGAGCTCTGTGGCCTCTCGTGGAACGGCCCCAAATAGACATCCTTTGGGGGCCCACTGGAAAGCTGGCATTTATGAGTTGAGGAAGCGCCCCAGTTACATAAGAGTGCATTCTGTAGGTAGTTTTCCAAGGCTCTTCAGTGGCATCCACGTAAACCCAGCACCAGTGCCAAAGTCCCAGCCCTCGCCTCCCTTAATATTGCAGCCACATGTGCTGGTATCTGGAACGGTGATGACAAGGACACGTTCTGAAGCAGCTTGATAATCTTTCACATAAAATTTTGTCCTGTGCAAGTTAAACTAGACAGCCAGTATAGTGCAGGGCATTTTCCAGTTTCTGCCTCTGGTGGTAAGTAGATAGCAAATTTCATCTTGCAGTTCAGTTCAACACTGTCGTGTTCAAAAACTTTCTGAAGTCCTCC